GTGTGTGTGTGTGTGGTGGGATCTCAGCCGGGGACTGAGCTCCAGGGAGAAGCTTTGTGTAAATAGGTGGTGCTTTGTACCAGCAAGCGCATAGGATATCTCAAACATGCATGAATGAGTCAAAGTAACACACTGGGTATGTTTTTGATGAGGGAATGACATTATAACATATTATATACAACATATGACATGAAGCAAATTTCTTCTAAATGGACAAGAGATAGTTCTGTGCAAAAGTTWTTAGTCAGCACTTAATTTTTTCTACTTTGCTTCAAAGCAGCCAGACCTTCTGCAGCTTCTCTTGCCACCCCTTACAAAAAATTGGTAAAACAAATAAATAAAAAATAAATGAATTTTATCTTTGAACTGTACTTGTATAGTGCCTTTCTGTCCACCCAGGATACTCAAAGCACTTCACACTACAATCTGTGTCCTCATTTACCCATTCACACAGCACTCTATTAGATTTCCAAAGCTAACATGTACAATCATCAGCGGAGACTAACCAGTGACAATCACATTCATACACTGATGGGACACACATCAGAGGCATTAGGGGGGTGAAGTGTCTTGCCCAAGGACACAACAAATTGAGACAGCTGGACAGGGGATCGAGCCGGCGACCTTCCAGTTCCAGGACGACTCCCCTCAGCCACAGCCGCCCCAAATTATACCCCAAGTAGATTTGATTTCAGTGTAGAGAGTCAATTCCCTTAAAAATTACAACAAATGACACAGACCACCAGTGTCCTGGTCCTCGAAGGCCACTGTTCTGCAGGTTTTACTTGTTCCTGCTACAACAAACGTGATTCAGTGATTGAATTACCTCCTCAAGTTCTGCAGAAGCTTGGTAATCACTCATTTATTTAAAATCAAGTGTGTTGAAGCAGAGACATATCTAAAACCTGCAGGACAGTGTCCCTCCAGGACCAGGACTGGACACCCCTGACATATAATAAACTCAACATGATTAAGGGATCAGGTGCTCAGTACCTAGAAATAAATACAACTTTATAAAAATATCAGAATAACAGGATAAAATTGGACGGAAAAAGAAGAAGCAAGATAAAATTAGGTAAGACCAGAGAAAACATAAGATAAAAGAAAACATTAGAACAAAAATAAAAAAAATGAAATAAGACAAGATAAAAGGTTAAAGGAATGAACAATGTTCAAATTATGCTAAATTTAATAAAATATACTGACGGCAACAGGAACAAAATGCTTTGTTTTACATTTTGGTACTAAGTATCTGCATCTTGATGGGAGGAGTCTGAACTAGCAGTGCAGWGGATGAGACATGTCTTATAAAATGGATCCAGTTGAGGACAGGGATTGTGGATTTAGTTGCACCTCTCCTGTCAGCTTGCTGGATCACTTCACTATTTGTTTCAGGCAGTTCTAGTTTTTGTGAGAAAGATTTCCAAACTGTGACATTAAGCAGAAAAATAAGACAAATACAATAAAAACATAATAAAACAGAGTTTTGTCAAGTAAAAGGATGAAGGTTTTCGAGGCAAAACAAGATATTTGTGTATATCAACGCATTCCACTGTGATCCTTTAAAAAAGTAAGTCTCTGTGCCTGAGTGTACTTTCTAAAATCTTCAACCAGAGCTGTGGCATGTTTCATTTTCATTAAGCAGACAAGTGATGAAGCCTAGGCGTAAATTCATTTCTCCAGCCTCACCTGAATCATCTGGTTGCTGCATCATGTGATTCTGTTGCAGACTATCAGCATCAGACAAGTCTCCATAGATTAGTTCCTCCATCCACAGCTCCTCCTGCTCACCAGCTGAGCTTCAGCCCACTTCCTCCTCTTCTCCACCTTAATTCTCTCAACTGTTTTGCACCCAGACCAGCCTTGCCTTTYTTCATTTCCCTTTCCTTTCTTCAAACCCAGCCRGTCGAAGCAGATGGCCACCTGCCCCGAACCTGGTTCTGCTGGAGGTTTCTTCCTGTTAAAAGGAGATTTTCCTCTCCACTGTCGCCATGTGCTGCTCAGGATAGGAGTCTGTGTCGAAGAGGTTTGGCACAATCTGCTGGCTTCCTTGGACTACAATTACTTTGTGTGCAGTGTCGTGGGACAACACATGTCCTGACCTGGTATTACATAAATAAACCAAATGTTTTTTATATGTAACTAAACAAACTCTTTGGCCTTCACCACCTGTGTCCAGGCCCTGGGCGGGGAAGATATCTCTAGTCCTCATCTGAAGCTGCTCATCCAAGATTATTGCAATTGTTATGGACTAATTATCTATCTGTTTCACCTTGACGCTGTCCAGTACTCATATATCTTATGATCAATGTCAATCTGTTTGCCCAGACGTCAGGACTCCGCAACGGACTGACCTCTCTTGTTTGATAAGATACTCTTTGAGCTGAGAGCCCTGTGATTGGCTGGGCAGTACATTCGTCGATCTGTTAAAATTAAATAAACTCTATAATCACAGCTTTYCTGTGTGTGAGTGTCTTCCAGGTTAAATCATCTGCGTACTTTAAAATAAGTCTGCAATCCCTGCTGCTACGGAACATGTTTGTGTCGAGCACACRTGTCAAACTCAAGGCCCATGGGCCAAATCTGGTCTTCATTAACATTTAATCTGGCCCCAAAGGTAGTAGTTTAAATGTAAAACAGTTTTGTGGTTTCTCTTTTAGGCACTGTATTTAGTGCATTCGTTTCACGACAGCTAAGCAACTTTCAGGCCAAGAAAATTAAGTTAGAATTTTTCAGTAAACTTTGACTTTGGTGTGGAAAGAGCAACAAATAATTTACTTTAATTAAATTTTTCAGAAATCAAACAGTTGGATTTTTAGTGAGCTTTTATTTATTTATTTATTGTCCTTTTTTGGGGGAAGGGACATTTGCTGGCCGAACCAAAGTCACCCGCAGGCCGGATGTGGCCCGTGGGTTGAAGACCAATCAGGTGGAACTGGTCTGATCCTGTTGTTGGGCTTTGAGACAKGGGTGACAGAAAACGTTAGGGTGGCACATCAAAAACAAAAAATCATAACAGCTTTTCAGAGTTTTATCTACATCTTATTACTGGCTCTTTAAAGATTACTGTGATTTGGAAGTAAATTAATCATCTGCTAATATAACAGCTGCAGAAGTGTCTCGGTGACATTTAAGAGAATCGAGATGCATCAGAACTTTCCTGGAAATGGTTCAGTAAAAGGAGCTGAATGCAAAATAACGGGAATTTTATTTTTAACTGATTATCATCCATCCACTGAGTACTAAAACACCAAATTGTTCCTGTTGTAACTTTGGGTTATTATGTGTGATTTAGACTAATCAGAACAAATTAGACTAATTAAAAATANTGAGTTTGACACACCTGTATAGAAGATGAAAATATATATTTTTAAATAGTCTTTAGTTCCAGTGTTGAGTTGACCAAAATAGACAGTTTTGCAAAGAATAGTTTTGTGATTTTTAGGCTTTTGAATTAAAAACACAATTATTGTTTGTAAATATACCAAAAATAACACTGCACTACGACGTTTGAGTAGTCTTTTGATTAAAGKGGGTGGGGTTATTAAGTAAAATCARCTTTTTTGAGCTTTATGTCAAGATGTCATTTCTTCATCAAAAACATACCCAGAGTTTTGCTTTGACTCATYCATGYAWGTTTGAGAAATCCTTGAATCTCCTGTGGCCACRTGGAGCTGCTTAAACACTTGCTGGTACAAAGCACAGCCCATTTTTACAAAGCTCCTCCCTGGAGCWCCMMTCCCMCARAGCATCGTCATGAAAGTGTGCTTAAGTGGGAGCATCAGAAATGGTAGGAGGTTCTTAAAGTGACAGAGGCCAATTTCAAGGTGTTCAGATAGATGAGGATGTAAAGGCAAAATAATTTTTCATGTACAGCATTTTCAKAACAAATGAAAGTATTATGTGCCTGGAAAATACATAATACCCCACTTTTAAACAYATGACATAAACATGTTGAAAGGTTTTTTAACAAGCATATAATGTATGTATTACTTTTCTTATTGGTATATTTTAATACTGTTTTGTTTTATTGCACTTTGAAATTGTATTAAGTATAGTAAGTATTTCTGTATGTTTTTAATTATAGGTTGCAGCAGTATTCTTTGGATATCTGAACTCACTGGTCTATGCAGAACCAAAAACAACCATCCTATCAGTGAAGACAAATCGATAGGTAAAACTCAAACCCAATGACGTTAACAGTTGTACAAGAGATATATGTGCTACTTAACCTCAAGTGAAGGTAAAAACAAAGAGCAGAAACTATTTTACTTTTCTTAGTATCATTAAAATATAAGCAAACTCTTGCCTTCATATCACCAAATTCCACAACATTTTTGTTAATCTAATGTATTTCATTTGGTTCCAGATCACTGTTTTAGGCTTTTTCATTCACCATGGATTCCCTCTCATCACCTTTCCAAAGAGACAAAGACAGCTCTGTTTTACAAGGCGACAATGTTTTGGTGCGTAAAGGSCCCCGTCGCAAAAGAGAGTTCATCCCAGAGGAGAGGAAGGACGATCTCTACTGGGAGAAGCGCCGTAAAAACAACGAGGCAGCCAAACGGTCACGAGAAAAGAGAAGGTTGAACGACTACGCCCTGGAGACTCATCTCATGGCTCTGAAAGAAGAAAACGCCAGGCTCTGTGCGGAATTGATGGCCATCAAGCTTCACTTTGGTCTAGTCCACAGTGCAGCCTTTACAGATCAACAAAGTAACCACCATACCCTGAGCAGTAGCCGACCCACGACCGCCCCCGACGTCTATCACCAATCTCTGCAAAGGAACTACCACTCTATGATACCAAATCAGCAATCTTCTCAACCATTTATAGTCCCTGCATACTCCCTCCATTCCATGAGAGGTTATTCCTACCTGAATGCATTTGGCCCTGCCGGATCTGGCTTCATCTCTCCTCTCGTCCTCCCACGCAACTTCCTACCAACATATTTGACTGATCCGGGCACTCCTGTTCTGAAGCCCATTCCCACCAGAGGAGCTTCAGATGAAGAAGAAGAGCAGCAGGTACCGAGGCAGCTGTACTGCTCTGCCGCTCAATATCCAAAAATCAGCACCAGAAGAGACAAGAATCCTTCTCCGCAAAGTCACTACATCTCTGACTGACAAAGACTGAAGGGTTTTTGACGTTTACTGTACCTTTAGACTGACTGGACTTTTAATTTCTTTTCCACAATGTCACAAGCCTGCTGAAAGGGATTTATTTCTGTGCATTAACACAAACTGTATATCAGAGCAAAAGCTCTTTTTGTGTAAAAGCAGCTGCGCTATTATTATATTTCGCAGTACGTGTTGGATGATGATCATTTACACTGCAGCCACAGAGAGAACGTAATGTGTGTGTAAATGTTTTGAATTGACTGTGTTTCTGTCTGTGCCGCTGTGCCATGCAGCTGCGCAGCACAAAAATGGAGCTCTGACACGAGCTGGTGCTCTCACGATTGTATGTTAAATGTGAGTCACTGATCGTAAAACCAWATGCCAACTGTTCAAATGTTACGTTTTGCATAAATGTTGATTGGAAAATGATTGTCAGTTTGTGGTTTCTTGTTGGATATTCACAAGTTATTGTAATATTCTTAATTTCATTTAAGGAATTGCCTTTTTTTCTGTCATCATTTCTTGTCATAACATGGTAATTTTATGTTGCTTGTGCTTCAATGGAAACAGTGAAGTACCACAACTAGTGGCTTTGGTTTCACATTTGTGTGGGCACCAGTAGTCATAATCTGTGTTCTTCTGTGACCACAGCGTATATTTCAATTAGTTTCAGGTAAATTTTTTTAAACGTTCTAATAAAGACTGATGAAACTGCATCTGTCTACATTTTATTACCCTCTTGCATTGCATTTGTTGAATGTTGTGAAATCTGCTGGTTTTCATGTCAGAATTGCAAACTAAAGTTATTTTATATTGAGAAATGGCAAACAGGATTGACTCTGACAGTGAAAACGTTTTGCAGAATGAGCTGTAAGTGATGTGAAACCTGCTCAGGAACCACTGAACCCAACATCTGTAAAAGTAACTGAACTATAGCCAACATTATTTCCAAGGTCTTTTAACTTGACCCAACCATTAATGTTCATGTAATAATCCACCCCCCCCCCCAAAAGGTTGATGTTTCATGGTTAAATAACAGTAAATAAGTAAACAAATGATATTCTGCTAACAGATTTGACTGCAGACTGTTAATATGAAAAACAGACAATTCATTGGTGATCAAAATTTGTGTTGAGAATCAGCTTCAGCTACTATCACATCAAATKTTCGATCTGTAAAACTACTGGTGCTCATTGTGTAAATAGAAAATAAAACAGGACAATTGAAGTTTCAGTTATGATCTCAGATAAAKTTCAGGGTRAARCCTTGTTGTGTCTGTTCATAAAATACTGAKTTTATGTTGTTTWATTAATTCCAAGCATTTAGTAAAATGCTCTTYAAATKGCTGTAAAATGCAGAGTTTGAGYAGATCTTACCATGGAGGAATTTCCTTATACAGTATTTTAAACCTGGTTTATGAAGAAAAAAATAATAKCAAAGACAAAACTATTTAATTTGATCTGTGAATGTATGCAAATTGGCAGTGAGATTTAGAAAAATGCAGATGTGGTGCCACCTGAAATCTTGCCTGGGGCACCAAATTGGCTAYGGCTGACCCTGTCTCCAGGTTCTGCAAAGCACTTTACAAAGACCCTCTTTCAGCCGTTCAGGGCTTCATATTTTATCTTTTACATACACTATGGACTGTACTGTTTTTATCTTAAATAAAAGGCATAATACTGGTTAGTATACCAGGTAAGCACTAGGTATTTACTCAGAAAGTATAAGTACATACCCAGTGAGTACAAGGTCAATAGAAGGGGCATCAAAGAGTGCACAGTTTTCAAACTGAAAGTTAGTGTAGAGACAAAATGACCTACTACATGCAGATATATTCAAATTTCAAACAGTGCACACACATGCTTATATGCTTTTTTTCCTTCATAGGTAACAAGAAACTGTGCACACGTAATTAGAGCTGTTGTCTCTCTGTGAAAATACTGCCTCTGTGACGTGGGACGGTTCTGGGTGGAGTTTACATGTTCTCCCCATGCATGTGTGGGTTTTCTCCAGGTTCATTGGTTTCCTCCCACAGACCAAAAACATRCAGTATATGTAAGGTTTATAGTGCCTAAGGTGTGAAATGACAGTGTGAACACCGGAGACACAGCTAGGGTGTCCCCCACCTCTTGCACAGTGACTGCTGGTGGCAGACACTCCATGACCTGGAAAGGATGAGCGAGTGAAAGAAGATGGATGGATGGATGGATGGATGGATGGATGGATGGATGGATGGATGGATGGATGGATGGATGGATGGATGGGTGAATAGAATAGAATAGAATAGAATAGAATAGAATAGA